TTGGTCTTTTACGCCTTGTTTTCCGTCTGCAATTCTTTTGACGCTTTTCGCTTCATATGGATCTATTGAAGAAAAGGTCTTGTTAGCAAGAAATAACTCTAAGGAAAAGCAGAAAGTAAGTAAAATATAACAGGCAAAAAAGCTGATACTACCCCGGTTGGCTTGGCTACTCTTCCCTCGCAAACATGTCTGTTTTTGCCACGTTTCCTTTTCAGAAACGCAGCCGTTTTCACTTTCTGCTCAGAAGCAGACCAAGCAGGGTGAATATCGGTCGAGGAAATCCTCGACAGGGGGGTCGTACCTGTTGGGCTGGTCCATGGGGGGTCGTACTCTTGGGGGTCAGTAACAGCAGTGGTATCGTGGTGCAGATAGGTAAGAGGGTATAGCGCAGCAGAAAATGAAAACATCTGAAAAAAACATGATATTAAATTTTCTTTGCAGGTTCAGTCGCTCCATTCCTCCACCTTCATGAGAAGGGCGTATTTGAAGGCAGTACAAAGAATGAAAGTGCATCCCCGCAAAGAAGACTGCCACATGTGCGCACGCGCTGCAAAGGCACCTCCTCTGCCTATCACTCGCTCCTTCTCCCTTAATACCTCGCTGAGAATGACGCTGTTGTTAGGGACCCTGTCAAAAACGACAACCGTGAAGAAAAAGCGCTGGGCAAATGAAGTTGTTTTTAGGTTACAGGAATAGCACAACACTATGTCTACTACAATACAGTTTCGTTCGAAGGTCCCCATCATATAACACCTTTCAATCGATTCTGCAACTGTGAGTGGAGGAGGGATGCATGGCTTATACCAATACCAAATCGGATGATGACGATTGCTCCTATTCTTATTGTTTGCGTTCAAAGATATTGTTCTAGACACATTCCGAGTGTTGCCAACGAGTCACACTTGCAATGGTGAATGAGGGAGCGGATTTCCAGGTGGCCGGATCCGTCCTCGATAGATCCTCGACGCAATTATCTCTTCAACCAAAAAGCTGTAGAAGAAAACTAAACAGACCATCAGGAAGCGCAAACCTTCCGCTTTCCAAAACTATCTTCCCTTTTTCAGGATCTTACAATATAAGAGATATATTGCTCTTGAAGTGGCAAAAACTCGCGTGAAAATTTCAGCTCCTCGACATTTACTCGACGAAATTTGAGAGACCCTATCTTTCTGCATGGAAGGCTTTCAGAGCAATTTCAATACTTGTTGGAAACGCGAAATCCAGCTCTATCTAACCTCTACCTCAAGCTGCTTCAAAGGTTGTGAAATGGAGGAATGCAACCTTTTCATCGAGGGTGTAGATTCGGACGTTTTTTTTTTGAATTTCGGCAAATCTGACCCAGTGACAATCGCGCCGCAGCTGCCGTTGAATCGGCCTTTGATACACTCGGCTGTTTTGATATACTCAAGCAAGAATCAAGATTGAATCGCAACCCCGTGTCTTCAGGATTTCTGTGCGTTTCTGAACGAACCTCGCCTTGAGGTCACACAAAGTTAATGCCTCTTTCCTCGAGTCGATATTTCAGTATGTACACAAAAGTATGCAGCGATGGAAGACGTGCATAGATGACAAGATGAAGGTCCTTAGCATTATTTTGCAGATTTTTTTTTGATTTGTTTTGCAGGATTTATTTTAATTGAATTAATTTGCTCTGTTAGAGGGGGTCGTGCCAGGATCTCGATTTCGGGGGGGGGGTCGTACCTCTGCGACCACGTACTCGACACGATTTTCACCCTGCCTGGAAGTTCCTCCTACTTACTAAGCACCATCCAGTAAGAGATTAAGTTTGAAAGAAGACTCTAATTCCGAGCACGGCTTGATGAAATTGGTGTTATTTTCATAATTCCGCATTAATCTTGATCAAAAAGCAAAGAGGAGCTTTCAGAGCCCTTCAGCTTTATTTCCTCAAGCATGCCAAAAGAAATTCTTCATCACTCCGTAGCTCCCCGCGTTTGCATTCCCGGCCTGAAATTATGTGTTGGTTTCCGTATTTGCAATCATATTTATTTTGCACATTGCTCTCTTTGAACAGATTTCTAGAATCTTTATGGAATGAAGATTTTGAACAATTCGCAGGTGGCTGTATCATTAGGAGACGCGAAGTATTGGGTTGTCGGAGAAGTCTTTGGCCATTTGTCAATTTTTTCTAATTCACTTTTCTTCTTTAGCACAGTGAGCAATTTACAAATATATGCCCCACCATAATCGCCAACATATTGCCTTTTAGCAGGTAACTCGTGGATGCCGTTTGTCTGGAAATACTGAGCTTTTGAAGCAAAAACCTGAAGAAGTCCTCTTCGAATAGGTCCGGATCATTAAGCTCTCTCTCGTTTGATTTGTTTGACAGCAACGGAAGGAGATGGATTTCTGTTAGTGATCTGTTGAACGCAACAGGTAGAACAGAACGTCCCATAACGGGCTTGGAGACTTTTGCTGAACCTTCTTCCAAATTCATTGACAAGCGTTGCCTGGATAAAGTAAACTTTTCATGTTTCCGAAGCATAGTGCCGGCGAACCCATCCATTTGCCCATATTATGGTTCAACAATAGCAGTGCAGTTCTTTGGTAGGAGCTGTCAGTGAACGAATCGCTTGGAGCTTCACCAATTCTTAAAGTTACCAGGTTGCAGTGCTGGAATCGGCGCTGGAATCCTCGGATCTACGCGTCTGGGCCACTGGCGCTTCCGACTGCAGTTTACGTGAGGACCACTTCTGATTACCACCAACAAAGTAGTCGGGTCAAAAAGAGACAGACGGTAAATCAAAATGTTCATGCAAAACTGAAGGTCTGTGACCCATATCACAAAATTTCCTTTTGCCACAATTTCTCTTCTTTTTGAGAAGATATTGAGGAACGGCTATTGTGTTCTGATAACTTTGAAAAGCTGCGTCAGTTTCCGTGCATTGCTCCGAGACTGTTTCCAAACAGCTCCAGAAGACACTCGTCATTCAGTGGAACAAGCCAACCGAATTTGTGCATTTTTCTCGAGTTTCTGGACTTCGGCAACCAAATGTTTACCATGTCGTGAAAGACACTCTGGGGTTCCATCGCAAGACGTGAGCTCTTGCCGCATCGCTTTGACGCGTTTTCTGGGTTTTAGAAAGAGGAGCAGCCAAATATGCTTTCAGTCAAAGACGATTTTCTCAGCCATAATCGCTGTGAGAAACCACGACAGAAATGCTATGAAGAGATCATTGACTAGGGTTTACATACGTTTTACAATAAATGTTCAAAAATTATCCCTGAAGATTTTACAACATGCAGATCGAAATGGCCAAAGACTTTCCCGACAACCTAATTTATTCTTCACGCGATTAAATGGCAGGTAGCCAAAAACAGTAGCTGTGATCGAGCAAGACCGCTTTTGGCCAGTGTTTCAGATGCATAACGTCATAATAGTCCACGATCTGTCGAAGATTTCCTTGAGCTCGTAGCGTGCACAATGCTCCGCAACCAAAATATTTCGATGTTGTTAGGGAAAAAGACTAACGAAGCCTTTGATATTGATGATTTGATTGAAGTGGGCTTTTTAGTTTCCACTTGAAATCATTCGATTTTAGTTTGGCAAAGTGTGTGTGCTTGAGTTTTAAATTTGAATGGACGGAGTTTTTTGCCTACCCCAATCCATGTATTCATATTCCCCTACAACGAATGAAGAATCGTTGTATTAAGCCGTTGATATAGTGAACTATCTTCCCAATTCGTCATTCAGGTACAATATTGCTAGCGAAAAAACCCCTCATCGTTAAGAACGCGTTCCATGGTGACACAAAAACGAAGCTGGATCTAGACCATATCAGAACTGCATCAGGTGTGAAATATGTTCTATGTGTAAATAAATGTCGGGCCATACGACTGTTACAGCTAAAGGAGAACCAAAAAAATTGAACATTTTCGCTGGAAGATCTCCTCTAACGGTTTTGTGAACATAGTCACGAAAATGACATTACTTTCACGCGATCCTTTGCGCTAAATACAGGGGGCCAAAAAAAGAGTCACTTTCGCTCACATTCAAAACAGAATTAATTACACTTTGCCAAAACCAAACCGAATGAGCTCAATTGCATATTGAAGAGCACATTCTATTCTATCAAAAAATTACATAGGGGCTTTCTACACCGACGACATCAGAAGATTTTCCCACGGAAACATGGTCACGGTACGAGCTCAACGAGGTCGTCGAGAAACCATAGACGATTACGACGTCTCTGAAACGCTGGTCAAAAGCCATTGCATAGTCAGAGCTAGTGTCCCTAAGAAGCCATTCACCAGTTATCCGATTGAAGAAATTATGTAGCAGCTTCAGAATGGAGCGATTATGGTAGGCCTCCTTGAGCTCGACGGTGATGACAGATGACGTCATATTCTGGAGACGGTGAAAGCAGCGAAGGTGGGCCTGATTCTGCTTATGGGGGGACATCTAAGGAATATTTCGCCGTATAACTCCCAATAACAGCGGCATCCTTTGCGACGAAAAGTTGATGATATGCGCCATGGGCAAAGTGACTCTTTTTTTTTGCCCCCCCCCCCTGTACTGTACACATGTGTGAAACGAATTTGGCTTGTGAAAGTTGCGTTGCCAATCTTGCACAAAGTGGCAAAAATATTATTGCATGTCCCACTATTGATCAGGACTATCGATTACCCTTCGAGGGGAGTTTTGGTGAAGATAATTTTTGTGCTCCCTTGGATCGCAATAGTTACATCATAACATAACATACAGAAATAGTGTGAGTTCTACATTTGAATTTTGCACTTCAAGAAAAAGATGTGTCTAAGATTTTGATGAACATGATCCAGCCAGACCACACCATTGCGCAACCTTTCGGCAAGACGTTTTTGCTTTATGGGTTACACCATCAGCTGCACTCGAAAATAAAGAAGTCGAAAACCGGCGCGAAAGGGCAGCCTCGGATTGTGGCGGTGTAGTGGGCTCGACGAATCCTTATATAAGACGGGTATCAGTCCAACAACACCATCTCTCGCCAGTCCGCCTTCATATGGACGAGCAACTTCGATTAAAGGTGTATCGGCTTCTAGCCTATTCGGCTGTCAGTGTTGCAGTTCTCGCCTTTTTATCCGTTAGCATTTCACTACCAATCGTCTACAACTACATTGAGCATGTGAAACGGTCAACGAAAAATGAGGTTCACTTCTGCAAGGTTGGTTCACTAGTCGAACTTTATGTGAGGCTGCTCATTGTGATTTTTTCCAGCGATCGGCCAAGGATATCCTTGATGAAATTGATCACATTAGAATGGTGCCTGCCAACCGTACGATTCGCCAGTCTGGTTACGGTCCATATGACGCAGCTGTTGAGGGAGATTACGGAAGCAGTTGTGAATCTTGTTGCCTTCCTGGACCTCCAGGGGCTGAAGGGCCTCCAGGAAGACCGGGCCGTCCTGGAAAGCCAGGCGCACCCGGTTTCCCTGGTGCACCTGGACGTCCGCCGCAGAAGCCCTGTGATCCAATCACACCTCCGCCGTGTCGCCCATGCCCACAAGGGCCTCCTGGGCCACCAGGACCGCAGGGACCACCTGGAAGTCCTGGAGAAATGGGTGAGCCAGGGGAGCGCGGAAGCGACGGTGCACAAGGCCCTCCGGGTCCAAAAGGACCACCAGGTGCCATCGGAGCGCCTGGAGCACCAGGAAAGCCAGGTCCACCTGGCGACGACGCAATCACCGAAGGTATCGTGCCGGGACAACAGGGACCACCTGGTCCACCGGGTCCACCAGGTCCGCCAGGAATGGATGGTCTACCGGGAGCTCAAGGACCACCAGGTAAGCTTTGTTATCATCACATTATAAGATTTCCTCATACGAAAACGGTGTCCTCCAAATTGATCGTGTTTCAGGACCCCCAGGGCCAAAGGGCCCACCAGGTCCTCGCGGCGAAGTGGGGGAGCCAGGTATCGATGGACAGCCTGGAAAAGCTGGAGCACCTGGAAAAGCAGGAGAAACTGGAATATGCCCCAAGTATTGCGCCATCGATGGAGGAGTCTTCTTCGAGGATGGTACACGGCGATAAATGTCTATAAATATGTATTGCTCATGTCTTTCACTAAACTAATGAGCTATTTTTCGTATAGGCACCTCATGATAAAATCGTCCTTCCTAAGAATGGACTATTTAGATAGTTGTCGTAGTAAATATATTCACCTGACTGCACAGAATTGCAAATCCAGATATTCCCTCCACTCATCTAGATTTGTTTATCCACTGATCTGAAAAGTGACTCCGCGAGTTCCCGCTCAAGGTCAACCCTAGCGTTCGTAATTCTTCAGAATTGCAAGCCCCCTCCCCCTTTCAGGGGTCTTAATACGACCTCTCTATATGGGGCGTAGACCTGTGTGTATGCAAAATTTTCAAGCCTCGAAAAAGTTGTGCTGGGCATAATATCTTCAAGTTCTCGAACAGAAATAAAAACAAAAACGCAGAATTAGGGAGCTGCGCGAAGATCATTAAATAGGCGAAGATTGGCTACTGTCAAGATGAGAACAATTCGAGCTAACGGAAATACCGAACTCTGATGAAAAAGAAGGCTTCGTTATTTTTCTCAATTTCGAGACATATTGTGAACAAAAAATATAATAACTACTCTCTGCTTCAAAAAACCAGAAGCGCGTCGAGTGCAGAACACACACCACAAGTGACGACGGCCTCCAAGTAAATCTGGTAACTAGTGATTCATAGTGATAGCTGATAGTTGGTAAATGAGAGTTGTAATAACTGAAAGAATACAACTGCAACAGGCTAATCATTTCATCAGCAGAAAACATATAAATCTGTAGATCGATCACAGGGCGTGGTCCACGCAAAAAGTACCAAAAAGTGCTAGCTGGTAACAATGACCGCGTTCAAGAGGTACTGAAACCAGAAGCAAAAGGGGCAAAAGGCGCTTTATGATGGAGTGCATTTGCTGATCGAGCGCAAATTAAAAGCCTAGTGCATTCAAAACGAAAATTTCTTCGTTCAAATTCAGGTACTTGTAAAAACAAAGGAATGATTGAAGTTTTCTACTTTTTCTCTATACAGCCACCAGCATTATGTTGAAAATATAAAATGCTCCAGTTATAAGAGAAAAAATAATTTCAATAAAATCTGCGTTTGCCTCGTTCAAGGCTCATAGCATTCCTCAAATCTGATCAAGTGCGAAAGGTAGGAAGATCAGGAAAACATATTGTTCTTTCTCAACAAATACAAAACTTTTCCCCAAAAGTTTGCTTATAAAGAAGTAGTAAGTTATATGAAAAGTTATTCGGAAACTGGATATAGAAATAAGTCCCTTTGGGACATTTTTTTGAAGAGCCCTCTTTTTTGAAAACGCGATTTTTGCGTTTCAGTTATCGTAAGTTCTTTTAGCACCTACAAAAATTTGAGTACCCGGAAAAACTCAGAGTATGCGTTTCCGGAAACCACTCAAGCGGTTATGCAAATCCATTCCCCCAAAGATGTCCTTGAGAAATTTTCTTTTTCCTCAAAAGTCCATTTTTCATACAATTTCCTACATTACGACTCATTCCACAAACACTAAAACCCTCCATACAGTCTTTTGCTGCTGATAACTGGAATACGGACGATCTGCAACAACAATTTCTGCCATGGTAAGCGCCATGCCTGCGCCGTGCTTTTCTTTTGCTTATGTATTTCAAAGTCGATATCGCCGCGATCACCACTGCTGCTCACTTCGCTCACGACTCCCACTTCGTGGGCTAAAACGACCACCGCTGGTGTTTCTATAAACGACTGGGAGGGAGGGGGTGGTCGAGGTCCTGCCACATTATACCCTTCCGATTCACTTCTATTTATATGCAAGGCAAACCCTTGTGGAGCAGATGCGAATCTGCAAAGTGGTTTTCTCATGTAGCAGAGAGGGGCGTTATTAAGGTAACGGCGTCATGTTGGACACATGGTTCAGCAAGGATTTAGTTCCTAGCGTAATTCGCTGAAGGATCTTCCTTTCACTATCCTCACCTCCGTGCACGACCCCAAGATCTTACTGAATGATCGTATGGGGTATTATAGAAGCACTGCTACCATCAACAGAGTGTCAACACAACAACCCATTGGATAGTGCAGGCCAAACTAGCCCCTATATATGTACGGATGCGTTTTCCCTATTACTCCTTTCATCCCTCCAAAGGCGTTCTGCGAACGGCCCGAAAAACCAATGCGCCATTTTAGTAGGTTATATTACAACAGAGCGATAGTGAAATAACTTGGAAAGACTATCTATAGGTGTACCACAAAATGCCTAATGGATGTGGGAAGGGTAGTGCTAGGCAGCCCAGCCCTACTGCACCAGAATATAAAATATAAAATATAAAATTAAAATTTACATAATAATTTAATTTCAAATTTAATTTATAAAATATAAACAGAATATAAAATTACTGTGAACTCGAAGTTTCACCATTGTATAGTAAGAGGAGCTCAATATAAGTGAAGGATTCTTCACACACACAGAAATAGAGGAAACTTAGGAAACTTAAACACAAATTGTTCATCCTGACCATAGATTTTCACGCTGCTTTATGTGATATATGTGCTTTCGGCGACAGCACACGAGGCTTCCACCGCCTTCCATTATCTAAAGCTCAGTGCCGCTCTTCCTACTGATGCTCCATTCCATCTTATTAGGAGATTGGTCCAATTAATCAACCGATCATCATGTTGAAGCAAGTTGGTTGAACATCATGTGGGTCCCAGAAATGCTCCATATCATTTGACCAGGAGCACGAGGTTGCAAAATTGTCGACGAGTTCCTAATCTTAGATCGACCACTGCGCACCCCATTATCACGTAACTATGCTGCAAATTGGTATGCCTTATATGTACCTACTTTAGAACAAAGGCCTGCCTCGATCCAACAAGAGACCAGCAAGCGGCACAGCAAAAGCTGGCTTAGCGACCGTAGTAGTGGAGAAGCGGTGAGCGCGCGTTGAGAACAACGCGCCCCCTTCTGGAATGCAATATAGTGAAATGTTGAGTGAACCGAGTAAACCAAGAAGAACGAAAGTCACTTTTCGTTGAAGGAAGCTGAGAATTTTTCACAAGAATGCTGGGTTGTGAACAAAACTTTCGCCCCAGGCGGGACTAGAACCCGCACCTCTCGCTTTCCGGGCAAGTGCGCTACCAGTTACGCTACCGGGGCACCATTTCATTCCAACTCAGCTTTTCATGGTATACGTACCATAGCTTTCAGCACTCACACGTATAACGTGTTGAGCCGGTTAGCCGATATCGGCAATGACCGCTCTTGTGAAACATTCGCAACGCGAACTGCGGCGTTAAAACAGCAGCTAACAAACAAAACAAGTCGAAGTTGAGAACTGTTCAATTTTCTTCCAATACGCCAATTTTTCAGTTCACTGTTTCTTGTAATCCAGTGAACACGAGCATTATTCTTCTAACGGATTCTTGGACGATGGCAAGACATGTACAAATAGCTCTCACCGGTGTGGTCCTAATGTTGTTGTCTTGAGTCGTGTTTAAAGCACTTTTTATCGGTTCAGCCAGTTTTGGTTCATGTC